AATGAGGACCCAAATTGTTGGGGGCAATATGCTGACTCTGTAAACTGCTTAGAGAGGGCTATAAAGCACTATAAAGCGGTATATAAGTCTAAGTGCTATTCCTATCTATCTGCAGCTTCCAGGTACCTTCAGAGTTTGCTTCACTACAGAAATCCAACCAGTATATTCCCATACTACACATTCACATGAAGTAGCTTAACATCCTTTCCCTCAGTACACTCTTATGGGATCTGTTTGGTACAAATATACATTTTATACCTGACAGCCATCTCTAAATGCAATTGACCAGTTATTCCAAAGTGTCTGTCTTCCTGTGCAGATAACATCCTTTTTATTATCTAGAACTGTTGTACAAGCAACAGCCTTTTGCTGTTCACCTGGTTTGTTTTGCTTTCTTATAATGGCTCATGTGGCCAAAGCGTGAGTGTTACTGCCTTGCAGAAAATATACTGGCCCTTCCAATATTGGCACATAGTTGTAGGCATGCAGAGTGTTCTGCAGACATTAAGCAGTTGCTTTGTTGCCAGTTCCACATTACAAGATGTCCTAATGGACTGCTGTAATTGTACGGTGAGGGAAGCAGATGATTGATTAGCTTTCATTCCACATCCATGGCTCCTTAAAATTAAATAATGATAAAATGGATACTTGAAATGGGCATGTGTGGCCTGTGGCATTTTTATAAGGTAGAATGAAGTATAGGTAGTCCTTGATTTACCACAAATGAGCCCAACATTTCTGTTGCTAAGCAAGACATTTGTTAAGTGAGTTTTGCCCCATTTTTATGACCTTTCTTGCCACAGTTGTTAAGTGAAGCACTGCAGTTGTTAAGTTAGTAACACAGTTATTAAGTGAATCAGGCTTCCCTGTTGCCTTCGCTTGACAGAAGGCTACAAAAGGTGATATGATCCCAGGACACTGCAACCGTCATAAATCTGAGTCAGTTGCTAAGCATCTGAATTTTGATCACGTGACCATGGGGATGCTGCAATGGTTGTAAGTGTGAAAAAGAGTCATAACTCACTTTTTCAATGCTGTTGTAACTTTGAAAGTCACTAAATGAACTGTTACAATAAGTCAAGGACTACCTGTACTAATTTTTTTCTTAAAGTTATTGTTTCAGGTAGAAATCATGTAGTTACTCCCCTTCCCCTTCTGTTCATCATTTCCGGGTTTCAGAGAAACAGCTGATCTCCTTGAGTGAGCAATGCTTTTCTTAGAAGAAGCAGAAACTATGATCTCTGTTGTGGTTTGTTCTAAACTTGTTCTATTGTAGTTTGTTTCTAAATTTGTAAAATGAATCCTGTGATATTCAGGCTCAACTCCCAGCACGTTGAGATAGTTCCCAAACTTTCAAAAGGTGTGTATAAAGTGATGAAAGTATTACCTAGCATTCAAAACTGTGGTGTTTTGCTGCATCTGAATGGTCCTCTTTTCCTCCATCTTTTTAATCAAAGGTAAATTCTGTTTCACTTCTTCTTTTCTCATTCCTTTGATACCCCTTCACTTCCTCTTTTAAACCTAGAGTGTTGAGGAACTCAGTACTTCTGCAAACATATAATTCTTTCTCAGGGTTGCGTTTTACTTCGCCGCTGAAGTGCACTGTTTTGTGTTTATTAACCAGAATTCTTTATGTGTTAATTAAATGGTGAAGCTTAAATCATACCATTAATCACAGTATCGTGTGATTACAAATAATTCTAAAGAGTATACAACTTTCACTACTGGAAGCTTCTAACACTACATAGAATTCATATGGGATACTGCTAGTAAAATACATTTTAAAAGCATTTAAACAATTATGTTAGAACTCCTTCTAGATCAGGTTTTATTTTAGCTTGCATTCTATAACTTTAAATTCCAATTTATCTAATTAAGTTTGACAGCAGTGTTTTCCATTCTGGTAGCCATGTCCTGACTGCATGAACTTTCCTGTCCAAAAAATAAAATTAATATGCATTGTGTTCATTGTAGTTTAGCATATGTCAAAAAAACATTAAATAGTCCCTACAATAGTCTTAGTCCTATCATGGTTTACAGCCATAAATTTAAATAATAACAGCTTTTGCTTGTCAAAATCATTCTACTTAAAGATTAAGCAGTTACAATCCCACATGATATATTTGCACAGGAATTAACCATTATAGTTGGTTTTGCATAGACATTATGAGTTGAGATTACCTAAACAAGTTGTCCCTTTCACATACATCTTCTATATGCAAACATTGTGCATCTGCACAAGTCTCCTTGTAATGCTAATACCGTTGTCTCTTTTGCTGATATTCAAGACAGTGTGCTTAATACTTTTCTAGTCTCCCCTGAAGATTATAAAATCTGTTGTCAGAGTCGGACCGTTTGATGCTGTCAGTGCTTGTTCTCTGTAAGCAAGCTGTATCTCCCTCACAGTTTTGGAAAGCATACCTTTTATCCTTGTGTTACATCATCACACTTAATAGAGGCAAACCTTATTAAAAATTCCCAGCACAGCAATTTTCACATACGAGGACACAAGGTTGAGTGGACAAAGATTGCATTGTATGTTTCTGTCTAATTCCCCTTTACCTGCCTTCGACTGTACCTACTTTCTGAATCAGGATGTTTCTTCAGTTTAACCCTGAGAAATTAATCCTAACAGATTATGTCAGTTTTACACCGTAAAACCAAACGGTGTAGCTCAAGCTCATTGAATCCCTTCTGTACATTTAAAGTAGGCATTACAGAGGCTTATTTTCCTCTCCTTTGCCAGCTTCTGTTCTGAAATCTGATCACTGCTTCAGCTGGGAGGGGTGTGGGCATGAGGAGAGGGAAGGGCACAGCCACTGGGAGAAGAAGAGATGCAGCAAGTGTGGAGCTAGCTAGCCGCCTTTAGACAAAGCAATCTGCTGCAGCTTTTTGAAAGAGACACACACATGCCTGCCTGGGAAAATAGCGCGGTCCTTTTGCCTGCTCATGGAGTGGAAAAGAAATTGTCCAGTACAACGAGAGACTCTCTGAACAAGACAGAGGCTGCGGCTTGAATTTGAGGAGTCAATCACCCTTTGGACAGGCTTTATCAAAGAAAGGAGGTGGAAACCTTTCCCGAGCGCTGCATCCCTGGTGCTGCAGTATGTATTAAGAAGGCAGGCCAGCTCCTGGGCGCTCTTTAATATTGCTTATCAGAGGATCTTCTCTGCAGGCCAGTCAGTGCAGCAGGATTTCGAATCCTTTCCAATTGTTGAGAGAACAACCTGCATTGCATTGTGTAGGCATCACAGAGAGGAAGGTGCAGGAACTAGTTTTAAATGTGCAGAACTTCAAATAACCACAGGGTTCAAAGGCTGCAACCCGAGTGTCATCACCAATATTGTGCAAATTTGACTTCAAGGGCAGGCATGCTAAGGAGGCTGAGAAAATACTGCGTGGTTTGCATAGCAATTTATCTGAGGATTGCAAAGCGGTGGGATTTGAACTTTCCTGATTACATCAAGTGCCTCCAGTTTCAGCAAAAGAAAGTAACAAATTCCTAGACTTTCCTAGGCGCAGACAAAAGAAGAAGTACTTTGCATAGCTTGGAATTGTGGTTTGCATAGCAATTTACCTAAGGACTGCAAAACTGTGGAATTTGAAATTTCCTGTTTACACTGTGTATCTCCTGTTCAGCAAAGGAAAGTAACAAATTCCTAGACTTTCTTCTTATAGAGAGAGAAAAGAAGATCTATTTTTGCATTGCTTCTGTTGATCTTTGAAGAACTTATTTCTCATTAACTGGCTGAAAGGAGGTGTCAGAACATATCTGATCCTAACTGCTACAGAAGATGGGTGTGGGGGAGGGTGTTCAGCGGTTGTTATTTCCCCCCCTCCTCTTAAATCCAGGACTTTAAATGCTTTGTTCTGAGAACTACTTGTTTATCTGTGTGAGGAATGTGAAGGTAGTACTTGTATTTTGCAGAAGAAGATTAAGGATTGGCAAATGAAAGTCGACAAAGAATTGTCAGGAGCAGACTTTGGGTGGAAAATGAACTGAATCTTTTCATTTTGCTCCAGTGTATTTATTTCTGCTCTAATCTGAATGTTGGTGCTAATTCCCAGCCCAGTTCAATCAGTACAGGCTGTCAAAATGTCATATATCTGGATAGGTAGTAAAGTGACAGTGGCAGGACTTCTGAGCTTAGGCTTATGTATTATGCCTCTGCTCCTTGTAGTAAAATAACAAAGAAGAATCCTTATCATGGTTTGCCTGTTTCGGGACTGTTGGGGGAAAAAAAGTATAAGTCTCTATTCTTCTACTGCAGTGTGTGTGTGTGTGTGTGTGTGTGTGTGTGTGTGTGTGTGTGTGTGTGTGTTGCATGTCTTCTTTGGACAGCTGCTCATTAATCTGGCTGATGTTGCTTTTCCGAACTCCTATTGTGTCTGTTTGCTTCTTTCAACTGCATGAAGATGTATTTTCTTTCTAACTGCTTTGCATCTCCAGTGCTAACAGTTTTCCTTACTATTGCACAAGGTAATGAATCTGAAGTAATGCATCTCAAGTTGAAGTTGCATGAATGCGTCTGCTGGGCTAAGTGTATTTGTGAGCTGGATGCTCTTGTTACTAGCTCCGGCTTGGAATGCTTTGCTCTGCTTTGGAAAGTTTACAGCCCCTGCAGATGAAAGAGTGAGCTGACCAAGATTTTTGTGAGGTTTGGAATGCGTACACCTGGCGAGAAGCACACCTCAAGCCAGGAAATCACTGCATGCAATGCTTGGACCATAGGGACAGTTATAAACAACCTGGATTCCAAGTTTTAAGTATAACTGAGAGTCAAATTAATGCTCTAAATTGAACAGGACAGAAGCTTATTGTTCATGGTCGGTGTGTGGAAGAGGAGCTGTCTGCCATCTAATTGTGCTCTGGCCCTGGTTTGGCTCCTTTATGATAATGACGATGATGTGGCAATGCCACTTCTCTTCCTCAGAGTGCCGCTGCTACCGCCTTAATGGGTTTTCCTTTTTCAAGCGTCTGCCGATTCCTTTTTCATCAGGTTCACGGATGCTGGAGCAGAGTGTTGGGGAGTGGCTGGAGTCCATCGGTTTACAGCAGTATGAAAGTAAACTGCTTCTCAATGGCTTCGATGATGTCTGCTTCCTGGTGAGTAAATGACCTGACAATCTATGACAAGGGTGTTGTTGAACAAGTCCATTGATTTTGAAAAAATATATTCAAATCGATTGAGAAAAGTATAACATGGTTATCTATCCTACAGGCATATTTTCACGATGTTTGACTCTTGGATTAAAAAGTTTGAACAGGCCCGACTGACAACAAATGCTGGACTCTCTTTTTTAGAGTGTAGATTTGTCCTGTATAAATTTGATGTTCAAGAGTGATTCTCATTAAAGATAGTTGTATAGATATCTACGAAGTAGTGCAGGTGGAGAATTGACCTTAAATGGATATGCCAACATATTCCAAACATATCTGAAGTAATTCAGCCCCTAAAGTACTCACACCTTAGTGCAATTTCAGCAGTCCATCAGTTTGAGAAGATATATCACTGCCGTATTGATTTATATACTTAGGTGCTTGCTTGATAAAGCCTGCAATGTTCAAATATATACCTCATGCTAAATACTATGAAAACAAATGTATCTAATCTCCAGTATATTTTATACACTTACTCTGGATGTAAATATATTTCCTTTTTTAAAGATCCTTTTTCATTGCTAAGCTTAATATTTAAGAACAAGATTATTGGGAGAAAAGAAGCTTTAGCCCTAGTCATCCCTAATTAAGATAAAAAATACACCATTTATCTGCATTGGTATTCATTTCTTCTCTTAAAACAATGTCATTTGTATAGTTGATATTGCTGAACACTAGTTATCAGCATCTAGATAATTTGTACTCATTCACTGGCACAACAGAAAGGAAGATTACTATGAGATGATGTGATTTAATATAATTGCCTTGTCTTTTTTTTTTACATTTAACCATGGGGAAAGTATTGTGAGATGGTGAATTATCAATCTTCAGTATATAAAATACACATTTGCAAATCCTTCAGTGTAGAATATATTCGGTGAAATTTAGTGAAATTCCATCTTTGAAACAGGTTTTTGAATTACTTTGGGGGGGCAGGATGAACCAGATTACACTATACTATTTTCCAGAACACTGCTGTAATTCTGCCTATTTCTGTGGTCAAACCATCACTTTAGGAAGTGATAGGGACAGAATGTAGCTAGTTTTGTAACATATTATTTCAAGGTTTTGCCTTCTAATTATCCAGTTACATTTGGATGACTGTTCTGTTGTATTATGAAGTTTGGTAAATCATGCCAAAATTGGGATAAGTGAAGAGATGTTAGAGGAAGACATCTAAGTTTAGATATTGTTTATAAAATTTTTGTATGTATTTAAATCTAGTTTTTTAACATTAGATGAGTTTAAGCAATCTTTAAAATTCAATTATTGACCTGGTGTATTAGCTTTAGAGCACACGTATTTATCAAGATTGCAGTTGTTTTAGGAATTTCCCTCTCCAACACTTTAGGAAAGCTTTTGAATATTTAAGTTTTTTTCCAAAAAAGATGAAGTGAAGAATATTTATATTTCCTATTAACACATGCACACATACAGAAACATATGCATTTTTCTTGGTTATTATTTGTGCTGAAATCAGAAGAGATGTTTTCTAGTCCTAGCAAGCAATCTTTTAATCTTTTTAAAACTTTGGAAACATATATGCTCTACACTACAGCATTCTTTTGGTGTTCATATTATTTGTTAAATACAACAGGAACAATATACTTAGATTCTTCTCTGCATTTTGGAGGCTGTTCTGTTGTAAAAATGTATGCAGTAATTTTTTGCACGCACACCCAAAAATATAAATATATAAATATATTTTTATTTTGTTTAATTAGCCCTAGATTAGGAATAGGAAATGCCCCCTTTTCTTAAGAAATCATTCGTGAACTTTCAATACTTGACTAACAGTTTTGATTCCTGTGCACAAAGTAAGAATTTACCAGTTCAATTTAGTTACTTTAGCCGTCTCTCTTTTCTCTTAAATAAAAATATGTTGGAAATTCTAATTGATGAATATCTGCATTTTGCAGATATTTAAAGTAGAACTAAATACAAATGGAGAATTACACAAACCCAACATTGGATTTTCTTCTCACTTTCATGTCTTTAGTATTCTTTCTTGGATGAATCTGGACATGGATCCCAACTGCCCATGTTAGAGGCATTTATTATAGAAGCTACTGTTGACCAAAGTATTCATTCTCAATATTGCTAATAGATTTCATAAAAGAACCATAATATTTTTTAAAAAATAAGTTATATTGAACCATAATTAATAAATAGTAAGTATTTTATGGGCTGATACCTTAAATTAAATTGGGAGAAATGTTCTAGAAAGTTATGGTCCCTTTTTTCATATTTTGTCAATCTAATTTTTCAAGGTTTTGTTAGGGAGTTTAAAGTTATATAATTCTAAAGAATTGGCACAAAGGAGTTACATTAAATCTCACTGATATATAAGGTAGCTGAGTACATTGAGTAATGATATTCATTTTGCCAGATGGCTATTAAGCTAATTGCTTCAGCCATAATATAAATTAAGTTAGCTTATTTTCATAGAATGATAAAACATAATTCAGTTTTTGTCATAAATAACATTGCCTAAAATATGTGTATATTTTGTCCTTAATGTTGAGAAATTTCCTACTATGTCAACATAGAGTCAGCGGGATATACTTTACATTTATATATTTACAAGAAAAATCAGAAAGGAATTCTTGAAATATTCTGCTTTATGTTGAGATTAAAATAGATTGCACTCTACTATTATACCTTCCAGTGTTAATTTTCAAAAACTTGAAAATAGTTTTGATTCCAACAAAATTAAAATAAAAAAAAAGGTAGCAAGAGGATTGTGTAAAATGCATTTTGCATAATACTCTGTAAATATTGAATATTATGAACCTTATGGTTTCCTGATAGATGTAACCAAATTGAAAGTGATGTTTCTAGTGCAATTACTGCATTTCTCAACATGAAACATAACATGTGAATAGTCCTTGGTTTGATCTTAGAGAGTAATGAAAAGGTCAAATCATTTACGGTCCATTTAAATTAGGCAATTCATATAGTAAGTGGGAAAATTAAATTCTGGGTCAAAGAAAGGAACAGTCAACTGCCCTTTTCTTTTCTCAATGCCAGAGAAGAATTATGTTTTTACAGACACATTAAGTCAAGCGTGGTTTTTGTAATATACCACATTCCTCTCCCATTCATGGATAACATTGGTAACAAATATATTGAGGAAAAGAAGGAAATATCTCGCTAGGCTCCTGTTTGTTGTATAAAATTCAGACACTATGAGGAAGACCTGAAAGGCTACTTCAGATGTTGTATTTGGCAGAAACAATTCATCAAATTGTAGTCATACAGTGAACTGTAAATTACAGTTGTCATTTCAGTCCAGTATTTTACCAGTTTACTTAGCCAATCTATCATTCAAGACAGGCTGATAAACAACTTTTTATTTCCACCAATGGAACATCTAGCTGTGGTTCTAAAGTATTGGGATAGTAAAAGAACCCAGAGCGTCCCATCTGTGCAACTCTGATTTGCAGTTTTTACCATAGGATATACTATATGGGCAATAACTGATCTGAGGGTTTTCATAGTTATAAATTTTAATCTCCTGGTTGAACGCTTGCAATGCATTTTACACAGGGCTTCCTTGAAAGACCATTCAGAAATAGAGTAAGCACAAAATGCAATGGACTATGTGTAATTGGGGCCAGATGCCACAAACTTGTTACATCTGTGCTTACAATGGTTGCTGTAAGTTTCCAGTGCAATTCAAAGTGCTGCATTTAACTAAAAAGCCCTAAATGGTTGGACACCTACTTCAAGCATAATCCAGGCAACAGCTTGGATGAAAAATATTGGCATTTCAGAAAAGGAGAATAATTGTAGCTCAAGGTTGAAATGATGGATCCTAGGTGCTCTCTGAGCTTCATAGATTTTATACAGACATGTCATTACCCAAACTAGATAACGTCAACAATGCTAGTAAGGAGTGGGGTTTTCTCTCAGTTTATATTCTAGTGGTTTGCCCTGTCAGTGTTGGTGGGAGTGGTCTTGGATGTCTTACTGCCCCAATGGCAGTTGGTTGAGCCATTTACTGTTAACTTGATTGGCAGTTTCTTGTTTGGGGTATTGTTTACTTCTTGACTATTGGTCTGATCTTAATTTTGGAATTAATCTATGCTCATCTGGGCATTAAAAAAACCTCCCCAGCCGCAATCATAACCCAGATGTATTGTATAGTGAGGTATGGAGATGGCTTCAAATGTCATAAGCCAATACCTAGCATTGCCTTATTCAACCATACCTGCCAAAAAAAAAACCTCTCTAAAAGTTATTGTAATAAAAATTAAAAAATTGAAACTTTTTATATAATACAGTATAGCAATATCAATAGCACTTAGAGTTATATACAGCTTCACAGTGCTTTATAGCCCTCACTAAGTGGTTTAGAGTCAACATATTGCCCCCAACAATTTGGGTTTTCATTTTACCAGCCTCAAAAGGATGGAAGGCTGACTCAACTTGAGACTGGTGAGATTCGAACTGCCAAATTGTAGGCAGCTGGCAGACAGCAGAAGTAGCCTGCAGTACTGCACTCTAACCACTGCACCACCACAGCTCTGATGCTACCACATAGGTCTTCTTCATATAAAACTTAGCAACTGGGTTGCATTTATAGCTGGTTCCAGCATCCTGTGTTTACATGATCATGAAAAAATGACAAAAAAGAAAATGGCAAAAAGAAGCCACCCATTGGATACGCTGGATTTGCTTTAAGTTTGGTTCACTTAAAGACCATGAGGTCTGCTTAATGACTGTGGTGTCTTAATAAAAATTGAGTTATTTTATGTGACTCACTTAACAACCATCCAGACTTACAAACAAAATTTTGTATATATACAGTATATTTATATAGTATAGTATAAATATGTATTTTCTTTTGCTGATTAAACATAACATGCTTATAAAATAATAATATAAATGTTCGAAACAGTCAAAATTATAAAAAAGAAAGAACTGAAAAGCTTATATGAAATATATTTAGATTGTAATGTTAAAAAAGCAAGCTATATTTAGTTCAATATTGGATAGTTAGAATAAATCTTTTTACTTCTTAAAAATACATATATATTTGCAATATTTTCTGTGGATACACTAAGATCTAATATACCTTCTAATTTCTAAGATGTTGATGTTCACAAAACAAGGCCAAAGAGAGGGCATGAAGGGTATGAAATGGCCTAATTTTTACAAGTGTGAATTACTTTTAAAGTTTCAATATGGGCCAAGACAACCAAGGTTTGGATATGGAAAGCTGAGTACCATCAGTTATTGTGTTAATAATGAATTTCATATTTTTATATTCACTACCTGCATGATTCAAATCAACTATTAGGAAAAACCAATAACTTTTTTTCTGTTCATTATAGTGTTCCCTCAAATCTACTGTTACAACTGTCTTGAGAAGTACTTGTTTAGTTTGGTTTTCCTGGGTTTGTTTAATTTGATAAATTGTTTCTAGGAAAGTTGGATAGGAAACAAAACAGTTTAACTAATACTTCAGCTTGTCTTCACTGAAATACTAATGAAATACTAATTTTAACAGAAGTGTTCCTAGCTGTATAGCTGAAGGAATGTGTTTTCCTTCCTGCTGTTCTGACAGATGACTGGCCAGCTGTGTATAAAATGCTAAACGGCTTGCCATTTTATGTTTCAAAGTGGATCATATTTCAAAGTGAGGACTTCCACCATTCACAAAACTAGCTAATATCTATAGTATGCATTACTTGCTTGGGCCAAATAGATGCAGCAAACTTTTTCTCATTCCTAAGCAATTTCTAACACAAAAAGCAGTGCTATATAATGTTCAACATTTTTTTCTAATTGAATTGAAATTTATTTTGAGGTGAGAGGATAAATATTCAGATTTCAGTAAATTTCCGATAGCAATGAGTGAGGTGGGCACTCTTAAATGATTTGGGAAAACTGCCTTTAGGGTTACATAAGCTCAGCGCCTCTGCTATTCATTAAATTGGCTTCTTCTTTTTTCCAGGCTTCTATGAGATCCTGAACAAAAGGGGTAGTAGCTTTTTAAAGAGAAATTCATTTCAATTAATTAACTACTTAAAGCAGCCACATCTGTTTCCAGACTTATATGGAAGCCTGAAAAAAATAAAGGTTGCTCTAATGAACATAAAGGAAAAGCTCAGATGAGCCTAAAGCACCTCTTTGAGTCATTTTTAAAGCATGTACATCACTAGAATCCAGACTATATCTCAATTATACCAACAAGCAATAATTATAATTTTAAAAGTCATCACTCTGTTCTTCTCTCTTTCCTACTGATTATGCCCAGAAAAAATATAGAAACTGCTGAGCTATTATAAAGAATACAGATTTTTTTTATAAAGGGAACATTTTCACAACATTTTCTATCAGCTGTAATGAAAGCAATAGAGATGTTGATTAATGGAGGTAACTGTATTTTTATGAATTGTTTAGCAAAATATATTGCTGAAGTTTCTTTTTAAAAATAATTATGGTTAAAAAAGTATGCTAGCTTAGCTGTTGGCAAAAATACAGGAAATGAATGCCGTGTCAATGATCTAGCTAGCTGAATAATAAACAGGGTTAAATGACAGATCCAACCTTTATTCCTCACTTTTTCTAGACAGTGTTTGGAGCAAAAAAGTTGCCCATACATGAATACACTCTACATCCAAAGCTTTATTCCAAGCAGAAATCAAATGGAGAGTATCTAGGGATGTATTGAAAGATGTCCTTTCCTGCTCTGGGAAGTGTTCACAGGAAGAATTGAGCACTTCCTGTGTCTTCAACCAGATGGCAATGAATCAAGACTTAGCCCCAGAGACTTCTCTGATTAATCCAGTTTTGGAAACATATTCTTAAGAAAGCAGACTGATAAATGTTTCCTGGCCGTCTGTGAATGTATGGGAGGCTTCAGTGAATGAATTCTAAGCACCATGTCATGGGAAGTAACAGCCAACACCAACAGCCAAATGGGTACAACATACATATATACCTACAGTACAACAATACACAATAAAAAGTAGTAGTAATAATGTAGTTCAATTAAAAGTTACAATTAATCACAATTATGATTACTTTGTTTTGATGTTGTTTCAAAAGCAAATGCTTGTTTCCAAAACAAAGTTATATCCTTGGCCTGTGCTCGGCTTCCCAGGTTCTCCCCTACGCCTGAGGATTCCTGTGCTTTGCTTAATGACTAGCACATTCTTTTAATGGCCACATCATGGAGACGAGGGAGTGCTGGTCATGAAGCACTGGTGTCTCACTTAACAGCTGTCACAACATGCAACCATAATGGTCAGGCTCTTGAGGACTACCTGTAATGATTCTTGCATCTAACAGTAAAAGGTCTGATGCTCCTCTGATGTGGAATGATTCATTCCAAGAGATTTCTTTTTACAGTTTGCCAGAATGTCAGTGTTAGATCTTGACATTTCTACTCCATCAAAATCTAGTTTCTTTTGGTTCACAGCACTGACATTCCATATGCTAGTACAGGGGTTCTCATCCTGTGGTCTGCAGATCCCTGGGGCAGGGGGCAGGGGTGGGCTGTCATCCCAAGGGGTCAGTGAAGTCTTGAAGAAATGTTGTAATTTAAATTGTAAGTCTTGGGGGTCTGTGGCCATAAAAGGTATTTAAAGGGGGTCTGTAGTGAATAAAAGGTTGGGAACCACTGTGCTGGGATACTTGCAGTATTGAACTTTCCTTTTTCTCTGATCATATATACTACAGGGACAGATTCCATCCAGCTCACACGCCGTGTCTTCTCTTACTTGATATAGGAAGTTCAGCAGAATTATTTGATCCCATGCCAGGCCATGGGACCATACCAGTTCTTTTTGCACCCACAATGGGAGTCAAATTAAAGCTATCCATTTCACAACATTTTCTCTAATTAAAATCACATAATGTACTGGATTTTTTCTCTTAGGAAAATTAAATATGCATATTTATTTTTTTAAAGGCACAAACAGCAATTGGGGAAATTTGAATCGGGACAAACATGGGGAAAGCCTCATCAATCCTAATCATGCTTGCAACTGCTACTTGTACAAATGTAGAGAGTGGAGAAACATTAATGTCTATCTTGGACATATGGTTAAAGTTTTCCTATTGTTTCCCCAGATTCTTTGCACATTATTTAAACAAATCATGTTATTTTATTCATTTGTTACATAATACTTTTTCCTCCTCCTCCGTTCTCCGCAAGAATCTGTGAGATGGGTTGGGCTGAGAGAATGACTGGCCCAAGGTCACCCAGATAGCTTTCCTGCCTAAGGCAGGACTAGAATTCAGTCTCCTGGTTTCTACCCTGGTGTCTTAGCCACTAAACCAACTGGCTCTCTGTAATTTCTTGATAGTTTCCTATTTGTCAAAATAAATATTTAATACTGAGCCCAGAAATGGTAAGTCTGGACTGATTCTTTTCCTGTGTTTATCCCTATTTAATATATTGTTTATTACATAATCTCTTATAAGTTGTTTCTCTTTGTGTCAGTCCAAAGGTATTTGTGCAGATCACTAGGATTATGTTCCTATAATAGAGGAAATCAAATAATAAACCGTATAATTCAGGATAGGCAATTGGTTGATAATGCAGTTTCAGGTTTGGGACTGCTGGAGTACTACACTTGTTTCTTAAACTTGGCAACTTAGAACGTCTGACTTCATATCTTAAAGTAGCTCAGGTTGAGAGGAGGGTTAAATTTAACCCTCTGTTTTCTATTAGGCTACGTAACATTTGTTGTATGTCTCTGTCATTTAATACCTTATTTTCAAATTTTACTGGTATCTGGAATAGAATATTAAGCTTGTCGGAATATTCATTGTTATGGTTGTAGTTTTAAGATTTTCACGAAGTTGAATTCTGTGGTTCATAATAAGTCCTGCATTTATTAGTCTTAAACAAAATTGTATTTCTAACTATGTCATTTTCTTGTTCTCTGTAGGGATGTAATGTTATGGAAGATCAGGATCTTCGGGAAATTGGTATTAGTGATCCACAACATCGCAGAAAACTTCTCCAAGCAGCACGTTCCCTTCCTAAGGTTAAAATAACAATCTATGTTTACGTACAGAAAAAAAGTGTGTTTTAATGTCAGTGTAATAACAGATAGAAAACAAGAAGACATTTCTTAAATATTGAAATAGAGTTTATTTTGGTCACAGACTAGATTTGATAATAAAACACAAAAAATGAGTAAAACCCCCAAACAGGAAACATATGTTACAATTAATGGTAAATATTTAGCATTGCTTTTAAGCAAATTTGAAATTATTGCAGATGCGGGGTAACCTGCAGACTTCAGGCTGCTTTCGTATAGGCTTCAGCCTAATTTCAAAGCATCAATATTAATTAAGACCTCTAACAACAGCTGTCTGTTGCAACCTGGGGTCATTCTGAGCTTCATGTATGGGTGAGAACTTTGAACTGCTTTTCTCCGATGTCACTATAACACTGTGTTTGTTCAATATTGTCACTTTTTGAGAAAGCATAAAAGTAGCAGCATTTTTTTCATGTAGGTCAAATTGGTGTAGAATCATAGTTTGTCATGTACTTTCCTTCTTAAATCAAGGTTTTTTTGAGACAGTATCCCGGGATTCACCTGGAGAATCAAACAGGTTCTGACACAACTCTGTATACAGCTTATGGAGTTAATGGATACAATAAAAAAGTTATTGCTTCTTAAAAAATATATTTTGAAAATAATGCATAAATAAGAGATAAGAGCAAATCATATCATACCCTCTAACATTAGTTTTCTATTGTGGGGATTTTGTTCATAACATAACTAGAACAGGAATGCATGGCCCTAGACATTCACATGAAAAGAAAGACTGCTGGAAGTTAAAACCGTGTCTCTAGGTGTTTATTTCCTGAATGGCTGCAGCAGCTGGCATTAAGTGAGCTGGAAAACAGGGTATCTTCAAACATAGCTTGCCCAGAAGACTGGCAGAAAATAGTATAAGAAGTAATTACCACCCCCCCACCCACACACACATACACACTTACATTTTTCATGTTTTGCTGTTGTTATCCTTTCCTCCGATATTTATGTAGTTCCAAGTTTCAAAGTAACATATCATGGTATCAGATTTGGGAACATGACAATTCTTGTGAAGAATTTATGATCCAGATTTTTCTTTAGAGCCTAAGAAAATTGTTTCTTCTTTCAGCAATTTTAGACAACTTCCTGGTCGTTAGGCAGTGCTAAAGTATATTGTATTATTGCACAAATCTGCTTGTTTTCCTTGAATTCCAGAAGGCTGTAGTTAATAAAAGTAAATGAAGTTACATTCAGTTCCAAAGATGTAATATCTCAATTTTAGCCACTATGACGAACAAGAAGTGCGTGTGTGAGAGAGAGAGAGGGAGGTGGTGGTGGGGAGATTGTGAGTTTCTTTAGGGTCAATAGATTATTGAACAGGTAAAGGAATATTCTCCAAGTCTATTTTTACTCCAGAATTAAAAGCAATTGTTACAGTCATCACAACTATTGTGAAACAATATTAACATTATCTAATTTCATTCACACTTTAGGGGGCACTGTTGTACCATACCCACACTAGGAGTCTCTAGGCTCTTCTCCCATTGGGCCTGTTAGGAAGTATATTTGACTTCAGATCTCCCTCTTTCTATTTATCACCTAAAATCGATTTGACTTCAGATTGATAAGGGAATTGTGTGACTAACTAAACAGTGTATGACACTGCTTTCCCTCTTTCTATAGAAAAGAACTGGAGGGAGGGGGGGGGGAGAGAGAGATTGAACAGAAAAATATGTATATTTGTTGTCTAATGCAAAAGCTATTTGGGTAGCATCTTGGAACAGAAAGTTAACATACTGGCAAAACATTATATTTTGCTTTCCAAAATTGATACTCTATCAATACTTTATGGAAAAGAAAAAGAGCCACTGCAATACAATTAAATTAAATCATTTGCCCAATGATTTATTTCTACTTAGTACAAATTATTTATATCTTTTGTTTAAAAAGCCTTGCATAGTTGAGTGCAACAATTGCATTGAAATATCTAAAATGTTTTAACGGCTGTTAAGTTATAATGCTGTACTCGTCGTGTTCTTCACAGGTGAAATCTCTAGGCTATGATGGAACTCAACCTTCAGTTCCTGCGTGGCTTGATTCCTTGGGGCTTCAAGATTACATTCAGTCATTTCTGTCGAGTGGCTATAGTTCTATAGACTCAGTGAAAAACCTCTGGGAGCTAGAATTAGTAAACGTAAGTTAATATTTTATTGAATTCTAGATCAGATCAAAATTTGTGTGTTCACTGGGTTAGAATAAACCTTAGCATTGGAACTGTTTGAGGGAAAGGATGGAGAGCCATAGCATGATAATCTTTTGTAACAATATATGCTAATTTTTTCCATCTCTGCAGGTACTCAAGGTGAATCTTCTTGGCCACCGTAAACGTATTATAGCCTCTCTGGCAGACAGACCATATGAGGAACCCCCACAGAAACCACCAAGGTTCTCTCAGTTAAGAGTGAGTTTTCATGTTTCAGTGTCTGCTCAGTAATAGCTTAGAGAACTGTGAAGAATAGTACCATGGTTGTGTTTATGGGTCTTGTTACTCATTCATATTCTTTTTTTTTTAAAGCTAAAGAAGGTCTGCAAAATAAATACCTTTTCCTTAAAAACATCTCACTATAAAGTGGAATTCAAAGTGCTAAATTTGATACATGAAACTTTATGTAGTTTGGCACAAGGTAATTCCAGAATTGCTTACTTCAAGGGTCCCCAACCCTGGGATTGTGGCCCAATACCAGGCCACGGTTTATTTGAAAATTTTGGGCAAGCATGCATGCACATGACGAAGCTCCACTTGCTTGAGTGTGTTTGAGTGGAAGGTGGCTTGTGCTCCATTTGGGGACTGCTGGCTTAATCAAAGGCACCTCCTACTGGCATTCTCATTCTGAGAAGTGCAAAGGGTGAGACCAGAAAGCTTCTGGCCTTGCAGAAGCTAGCAAAAAAGATCAAGTTTTTCTGAACATCGTCAAGGAATTATTGTTAGCCATCAATGTTTCATTTGTATTTATTGGTTCTTGATCATTTTGATTTGTTTTGATAATATTTTACTGTTTTTTGATATTATTGGTGGGTGTTTTCCCCCCTTAACTATGGATGTTTTAATATAATTTATATTGCTACAAGCCATTGAGAGCGTAGGTGGCTTGATTGCATATATATTTTAATAATGGTCATAATAATACACAATTTATATAGATATTGCCAACTACTTGGTATGCATACAAGTTTTTTTAAAAATGTCAATTTCTTGAATTTCAGTGCCAGGATTTGATATCCCAGACGTCTTCACCTCTGAGCCAGAGTGACTCCTGCACAGGGAGGTCTGCAGACTTCCTGCTGCCTTTGGAAGATGCTGGGAAGAAGAGACATGAGAACATCCATGATATTGCATCTTATCCAAGAGCAGAGAAGTTTAGGACACAGGTCAGAAGAATCTGAGCCCCTTAAATCATTTTGATAACTTATCTTTGGAGATTATTGTTTACTTTAAGAAGTAGAAAACCAAAAACAGTTATACTACAGAGCAGCAGCCTTCATAGAAAAAGTGCCCAGTCTTGCAGTATCTGTATCAGTTTCTCTGGCTGGAGAATGTATCAAGATATTCACTGTAAAAACAACAGCAGTAATCTGTGTGTATTTCCAAAAAGGGTGTTAAAGGGAAGGGAATGACTAGTTCTGAATATTTTTTGACACCGTATCTGGGGATGGAAATGATTGATTGTTTCCTCCTCTAGTGGAGTAGCCAATTAATTCAAGCCAGTTTCTGTCTCTGTATCTTGTATTGTTTGGCCTTGGCACTGTGCCTGGAGGCAATTTTAGTTCATCAAAGGGAGCAGGTATTATGAGATCACAGGGTTGATAATTATACAGAAGAATGTATGTTTTAGTTACACAACAGTTTTTAAAGTAGCAGTTATCAAAAAGTTGTTGAACTGTGATCACAGTTTATCAAATTAGCTATCTCAATCCATTCTGTAAAGCCATCGTGCTCAGAATAGGACTTTTAGCTATTCCTTCCATAGGACATTTGCAGAACCAGTAGTTACACTTTTTATTTATTTGTTTTGTTTATACATTTTACTGGCCCTCCAATTTACCACAGGGTAACTCTGGTTGGAGTTTTCATCAATAGCCTAAAACTTTGAAAATTTTAAGAATTTCTCAAAGTAACATCATACTCACCTTTGTTGAAGTGTTTGAAATCCTGATTTTCACTAAGCCTTTAAGTAACAATTTTCATTTAAATGTTTTAGTGTGGTTATTTTATATACTTTTTGCATAGCTGTAGTTATTTGTATACATAAACATATGTGTGAGTGTGTATAGTTATATTTAGATATATATGACTTGAAGTAGATGTAATCTGTTAGTTTATTTATTTCTTAGTTCCTAATGAAAAGTTCTGATTTGAACAGTTATTTGTGTTGTAGGAGGAACATCGTGAATCGAAGCTTACACTCAGACCTCCTAGTCTGGCAACTCCCTATGCTCCTGTACAGCACTGGCAGCATCAGCCAGAGAAGCTTATATTTGAGTCCTGTGAGTATGAAGCCAATGTAAGTATATTCTTGATTTTTGTACTATGTTGCATAATTTTGAGGTCCTCATAAATATTTATACCTGTATACTGCATGAGTCAAAAAGAGGGCTGTGAAAGTATTTAGAGACCCCTCACATCCTGGACATAAACTGTTTCAACTCCTTCCCTCAAAACGACGCTATAGAGCACTGCACACCAGAACAACTAGATACAAGGACAGTTTTTCCCCGAACGCCATCATTCTGCTAAACGAATACTGTCCATCAACACTGTCCAACTAATTACAAAGTCAGCACTACTATTTCTATTAATCTTCTCATCACTCCTTATCACCCATCCCCTTCCACTTGTGACTGCATGACTGTAACTTTGTCACTTGTATCCTTATGATTTATATGGACTGTTTCCTAGTTTGATTTGATTGCTTATTGTACCCTATGACTATTATTAAGAGTTGTACCTTATGATTCTTGACTCTTGATGAATGTATCTTTTCTTTTATGTACACTGAGAGCATTTGCACCAAGACAAGTTTCTTGTGTGTCCAATCACACTTGGCCAATAAAGAATTCAGAATTTAGAATAAAGAATTGAAAATTAACTGAATGCTACTTAGTTTAGTTAAGTTTACTAAACATACAAAGTTAATATCAGCTGATGTAGCAGAATCTCCAGCTAGAATAGGAGGAAATGAAGAAACAATTTAACATGGAGCCTCCATGATAGGAAGCAATAGAGGCCAGCTCTTGAAGCCCTTAGAGCAGGAGTATCAAACTCATGGCCCACGTGCCAAATGCATCACATGCTGGCCCCACCCCCACCCGGTTTAGTGAAGGGGAGAAAAGTCCCAATACATCATATGATACTGCAGTGACGACACGAGTTTGACACACCTGCCTTAGAATGTTCCCCAGAGAATGCAATTAGCCTGGCAAGATTCTTCTAAACAGAGGAATAACAATAAACTACTATGGCCTACTCATTGAGTTGTTCTGTTTCCTTGTGCTGACCTTATATGTACAAATAATTATACTATCAAGTACTTACTATTTTCCTGCTTTAAACAGTATCTAGGGTCCATGTTAATCAAAGATCTTCGAGGAACAGAATCTACACAGGATGCCTGTGCAAAAATGAGGGTAGGTATGCTATTTATAAAAAATTCTTTCGATACTAAGGGAAAAATTAATTATGTCATGTGTGACTCCATAATTGAAGATTCTGCTCAGGATGTAGAATAGACTTATTAAATCCTAATACTTTTTTAGTTTCATTATCCTAAGCTACCATTTGGCCATACTGTTTAACAGATTCAGGATAAACCTTTAAAGTATTTTGAAGTCTCTTTTCAAGCCCTGGTCACTTATGACATTTTAAAAACCCAAATTATAACAAGTGTGTTCCAACAGCAATAAAGATCTTCAAGCACAAATTATGAATCATTTTGCACTGATCCTTAGATCTGTAATTATCTTAACTTGACTAATCTCAAGAGTATCTAGACTACATTTTTAAGGGCTTTATTGCAAGTTCCTGGTATATTGCAATTCCATTAAAACTAGAACCTATTTTAATTTCTATAGAAGTGTTTATGAAGTGTTGCCACTTAAAATGTTGGCATACAGTAAATATTCTTTGGAAGCTTTCTAGCCCCCTTGATTATACAAGTTAATTTTTTAAGAATATGGTTGATAGAGAATAATTTCAATTGGAATTTTTTTCAGTATTTATGGCCAGTATCTTTGGTTTGAGTTGAAATAGCAAATATTTGACATAGATTTGCAAAATGATAATTCTAGTTTCATCTGAATTATGGTGGGCTTGTAGGGAAAAACTTTTTCATCTGCCACTTTGCTAATATTTCATTTCTATAGTGTAGGCATTGTTGATGTTTTTTCTTCATCTTTGCTGGGAGATTTAACAGCATCTTCTTGCAAAAGCCCTGATGGGGAAGATGAATCAGTACTCTATGCTGTTTCTTTTATTTGACTTGCACAAAGGTTTGATAATAGTCATAAAAGTTTAGAAAAGGAAATTATTCTTTTCCCCCTAGTCCACAGGTCAACTGCAATTTCTAAAAGTATTCCAACATTGTTAAATTGACATTGTTGTCTCTCATGATATACTACAGTCTGTCACTCCGTTTCAGTTTCTATGTGTCAATGTTCTTTGATTACAAATAAAGATAATTAATTTTCAGCATTTTTAACTCAATAATTTAGATTTTTTTTCTTTTATTATATAATATTTCACTGCATTCCAGATTTGAAAAATGCAGCTCTATAAAATATCTAATTTATGGAACTGAAAATTTAAACTGAAGTGAGAGAATTTGAAATCTTTTGTGCACATGATCTCCATTCTTGAGAAATTATTTAATCTGTGTCTGGGTTTTTTCTACTTTTATAAAGAAATCAACTGAGCATATGAAGAAAACCCCAACAATAATATTATCTATTACTTATAAAGGAGTGAAGTTCATAGATGCTGCTAACAAGGTAAGAAAATCCTTGCGTTCATGTATTCCAGCCTTAAGTGAGAAATGATAGTGCTGTAGTAGCATGAATATATTAATTTATTCTGCAAATCCTCAAGCCTGATCAGTAGAAAGACAAAGTATTCTGACAAATTGTAGCTCTGCGCTGAAATGGGTGGTAATTAATTGATTAATTTTTTATAAAGATACCCAGACTGATTTTTCTTTATCAAGTCCTCTCTCTTCTGATGGAGTTGCACAGCTATAACTTGTCTGTTACACTTGCTATTAGACAACTCTAAATCATCCTTCTGCTACCCTGAAGCTTGGTCAGTCATATGCAACCTCCACCTCTATATATTGTGCCCCAAAACAGAGGCCTCAACTGCCTATATAGATTACCTTAATAAAAGCTTACAGGATGTAGTAATTGATGTCAAAACAATGTTGTGCTGAAGTCCCAAATCCAGTCCCTGGCCACTACACAATAAACCTGGGAACCCAGCCTCTCCTGAACACCTACAACGTTTACAAATGTAGTTTTGCAATGTAGACAGTATTGAGCTATATGGATCAATGGTTTGTAAAATGAGAAGGCAAATTTCAGTGTGAACGGTGTGTGATTTTTATTCAAGTACAAAGTAACGCAATGAAACTTCATTTTGTTAATATTTACTTGTGTTAATTTTACTATACATATTGAGCAAAACAACTTTATGTATGGCAGAATGTAATTGCTGAGCATGAAATTCGGAATATCTCTTGTGCTGCCCAAGACCCCGAGGATCTCTGTACATTTGCCTACATCACTAAGGATTTGCAGACTAGTCACCACTACTGTCATGTCTTCAGTACCATTGATGTAGTAAGTAATATAACAATCAGTGCTTTATTTATGAAGGCTTTGTATTCTGCTTAATGATGTTCATCTGTTAAGTCACTGGCTGGAATGAAGTCCTCTGTGAACAGGAATTAAATGCCAAGTGATAGAATGCAAGAATACAAGTAATATATATGGCCCTTCCCTTGAAATTGTCTCTGGATTTGAAAGGTCCAAGTACACATTGTGGGGCCAATATATTTTGTTGCTACTTTCAAACATAATACTTAAAAATAATATTTGCAAGTAGTGACTGTTGTTAAATGAGGCACCCACATAATCATCTTACTAAGTGACCCCTACCCCCGCTCTCCCCAATGCAGTTGTTAAGTGACTAAGTGAATCATTAAATGGAACACTGGGTGCTTCACAAATGATGAAAAACTCTGCCTGCCTCACAGTACCCTTAGGTTCTATTCTACTGTACTATCAGTCTTTGGGCAAGAAAAGCAGTACTGGTTACATGTATATTGAGGGTAGGATTTTTTTTCCTGGGCTCCATAAACCCCCAGAAGCTGATTGCTTTGTCTATTTTTGGCGGGCTTCATGGAAACAGGAGGATAGAGAAGGAAAAAATAAAACTGACTAAAGAGTTCTAAAGCTGGATAGGGGCTGGTATATATTATATTATATTTATTATATTATCATATCTCATATTTACAATTTTTAAGAACCACCCATGTTCCTCACAAAGGGACTCTTCTTTCTTCATGCAACATTAGTTCTTCCTTCCTACTCTGCTCATAAGGTGGGGTGGTCAGGATGCTCAGCAGTAGCTTTCTTTGGAACAGGAGATTGAATTTCAATCTCAGAATTAATATCTAATAATATTTTATCCAACCCTTTTAATTGAGCGTTATTGGAATTGATTGGCTGTGGAAAATCATTTTTGATGGTGCTGTTCATTCATATTGATCAAAAAGTTCAAATCCCAAAGTGCTCAGAGTAGACAGATATGATTTATGTCCATAGGTATCTATTCCAAGCCACAGTACAAAATTAATGAGGGTGCAGTAGCATCACAATATAAGCTTCACTCTTCCATATTTGTTTCTTGATTTCTGATGCAAGTACATGATTCATTAGGGGGTGGGGGTTACAACATTTTCACTTGCTTCCCGTGTATACCTCCTCCCATATGTAGATATCTCCATCTTCTATTAAAATATGACTACGTTCAGCAAATTGTATGCTGAAATGTAGGTTGGTTCAACGAATTGAACAGCAGACTTTAGACACAGTGGGGTATCTGTCAAACCTAACACACCACATATATGTCTTTCAAATTGATACCATGAGAAATGCTGTTTAAGAACCTAGGCTGATATTCATTTTTCCTCATATAGAATTGTATAATAACATATTGTGAAAGATTATATCCACACACAAAAATTCAGATTTCAGGAAATCCCAAATCAGATATGTATGAACAGAGATAGTATTCATATTTATTAGTCTGTAGTTGAAATACTTGCTAATTCTCTCATGTGCCTTTCTACTTTAGGCAAAACATATAGTATTCCTATATTGAAATAATCTTGCAATACTTTCAATAACTCATTCTTTGAGGAGGATTTTACATGCACTTTAACATTTACTGAAAAGAGCAACTTACTGTTAAATATCAAGGTAATTAGTTAGCTGAAATTTTATATTAAGGGAATTATATGGTGGCTAATTCCATAAGAGAACATTTAGTCAGTTTCTTGGAAGTGTATCCTAAGTTCTTTGTTTCATTTTTAATAATAGAAGATACACTGTAGAAGGTCTTCAGGATTAAGACCTTCTAAAGTGTAGAAGATATTCAGGATTAAAAAGTTATTTTAGGTATTTATTATTGGCTGCTAATATGAAGGATCCATATGCAATGTATGTTTCTAACTTGTCTTAGGAGCTCCAATTTTTTTGGTTGAATAAATAAAATAAACTGACAACAAATGTCAGATTTAAAACCTAAAGATTCCCTAGTAAAATACAACAGATTTTCTGTATTTTAAATATTGTGCATCTTTTGTTTCTTTTTTCCAAGAATCTAACATATGAAATCATTTTGACATTGGGGCAAGCATTTGAAGTAGCCTACCAGTTGGCCCTTCAAGCTCAAAAATCAAAATCTCCAGCTGTTTTGACTGCAGAAATGATAGAAACAAAATCTTCAAAACCAGTGCCTAAACCTCGAATCAGCATGAGAAAGTCAGCAGTATGTATATTAAATGCTTTTGTCCTTTCCTATAGAACTAACTATGCAACAACTTAAATGATGTCTGAACTTATTTTTCTAAGCGTGTTTGCTTTCTGTACAAGATTATTATTTTTTAATCTTTTATTTCAGCAGATGCTCTAGGGCAGTGGCCCCCAACCTTTTGGACACCAGGGACCAGTTCCACAGAGGGTATTTTTTCTGCTGACCAAGGGCACATGGTTTCTTGCACGGTGTGGATCCCGGGCATGTGCTGATGGGGTTTCACTCACTTGTGAGGCCCAATTCCTGGTTGGCTACATCCCAGTGCCACTCTGTGGCCTGGATGTTGGGGACCTCTGGTCTAGAGCGCCCTCAAGCTCTTTTAATACTTCCACACAGCCCACTGAATACGTTTGAAAACCCACAATATATTATTCTTGGGAGGGTAATGTCTTAAAAAATGTGATATTTTTTATAGAATTGGCACCCCTTCCCTATGTTTTGCAGCTTTTCAACTTCCAAAATATGTTGTCCGCCCCTTTACCACTCAGAGCTTTATGGGTTAAAAGTATTTCTGTCCTTGAAACAATTTTGAGTTCAAGGCAGATTGTTCCAGCCATTTTGAGCATTTTGAATTTGAAAGCCTATTTCAAGTTTGAAAACAGGTCCAAGGCTATTTGAGGCATCCAACTTCAAACTCAGATTCAAACTATTCAAACATTTTAAATTTGAAATATGCAGCCCACTTCTAAAAAGTTTGCCTACCCTCCCATAAAGCCACTTCAGGGAAGTGAAAATAGACCATCAGTTATCAAACAATAGAAAGAATGCAAATTGCTGCAGAAGTTGAACATTATTCGAAGTATGTGTTTTAAAAGCAAATATAGCCCCCTCCCAAAATCTCTGTGCAAATTATGGTTTTGTCTTTTTTATTGTTACTTGGTGCATATAATTTGAGAGCAGAGATAGGATCAGATTGTCCTTGGTTTCCATTAGTTACTATATATTAACCAATGTTGGCAGAATAGAATTGCTCTCTCTAAAAAGCATTATGGGGAAGAGAGACCTACTGATCATTGGCATATTTTCTCATCGTGTGAACTGATAAAATGGATTTATTAATCAACTCTTCGTCTCACATTTTCCAAGAACTATGCATGAAATTGCTAATTTGCAGTAACATGGGAAGTTACAAAAACAGTAAATATTAAGTAAAAATGATGTCTTTATAATATCTGCGCTGTAAAGTAAATTTTTCTTCATAATTGATGTTGCTCAGGCATCCCTACACTTCCATTGAACATGAATCTATGTTTGTTGCAAAAACGACTTTTGACTTTTATGTTGGCAGTATCTATGCTTTTATATGTATAGAAGCATTATTGTTCTCAGGCTTCCCGTTGTCCGATAGGAACAACAAAAACACACAACTAATGATACACAAATTCTACTTAGTTTCTATTCTTTAACATTCCAAGATTATCCCATTAATGGTCTTTGTTAACCTAACAAGAAAATAAATCTTCTGGAATTCTAACCCATAAGATTTCTTTCTTGGTTGCTGTCCTTCTTTCTTACCTTCTGTCTGCGTTTTGCTTACTCCCATTCCTCAGGTGCCGCTCCCTTCTGATAATCGCTGTTGTTACTGTCATACCTGTACTACACACCGTCCTTCCTATCTACCGCTGCAGTCTGTTAGTCCAGGAGTTAAGGTCTTTACCCTTCTTGCAGTCACGTTTCTAGAACTTGTTTCTTTAAGTGTGCCAAATCTCCTTCAGATTCCTTCATTTCTTAGTTTTGATGCTCTTTATTCCATTCTGGATTACAATTCCATTTTACATTATGTAAGGCAGATTTTGAGATGTTTAAAGCACATTTGGCCTGATTAGATTCAGTTTGGCAGGGAAAAAAGTTCTGTTGATAGAGAATAAACTATAAAATCATATGAGTACAGTAGATACTAGGAATGTTTTGCTTGAAAATCAGTTCAATGTTATTTTTTACTGAAGTGTAACTAGATTATGATTTGAACAAATTTTATCTTGTTCATATTCTTAACATGTTCATATTCTGAAATGAGCTGATTATATTTTTGTTTTATGGAAATCTGATAGATTTTTCTGATGCCTACATATATCCCATATGCATGTACACATATTATGCTTAAATGCTAGACTAGCTATTTTCATTCTAAATCTGTGCGTCTCTCTACATTGATTTAAAAATGCACCTAATTTCATACTTCCAAAGAAAACAGGTTGCCTGAAATGTTCTTTCTTCTCTAATGTTCTCTAGCTGGAGCAATCTGAAGAGGACCAAGACTCCCAGTCCCATGCTGGTGTATCCTGGGTAGTTGAACCCAAGCAGGATTCCAAGAGGACCCTCAGCACTAAGTATGAGACTACTATCTTCTGAAAACAAATCTACATCCAACCAGTCTAACTGTGCCTTTGCAGTCTGATCTGCCTGCTGTTCTAAACCTTCCTTTTTCCCCATTGCTGGCACTAGGCATGGTGTCACCAGAGGCAGAAGCATAGGATTATCATAGACTAAACAGCTTTTTGTATCTGCTTTCTACTGAACACTGTGAATTCTCCTAAAGGAAACAAGGGTAACACACTGAGAGAGTCAGCTGTTTTTAGATGTCTTGAGAGATGGGAGAAATGAAGCCTGTGGGAGTTCAGTATATGGATTTGGGGAAATCAACTGGTGTTTTTGATTTTCTCTTCATGTTGACACTGTGAATATGGAGTGGATTAACACTCCATAGGGCTTTTCTGTTTAGCATTCTTGTTACTGGATGGTTCTACAACTTTGTTCTCTTGTGTACCTACTGTTGTAATCTAGATTTATATTTCCATACTAAGACATGGCCACAACTGTTCCTTGTAGCATTCTTTTACTTGTCATCTCAAAACACACTAATTACTGCGATATTGTTTGCAAACCTCTTGCTCACCTGACTTCTGGCATGAATCCTGTTCACACTCTTTACTGTTTCTGGATACCGGAATGTATGGTATAAACTAGGAACCATGATTTCCCCTATTAAGCACTTTCATTTTTCCTAGGAGTCAGATTTGATATAAATAATGTTAAACAGGAATGTTTCAGCTCTCCAAGTATTTCTGATCAGTCTGTGTAGGATTTACTGTTAGAGCTTTCTGTTCATGTTAGGCAATCCACTTACAATTAACTGATCAATCATATTTCCTGAACTTTAATTAGAGTGCATCTTGCAAAGATACACACTAGTTGCTGAAAATAAGGATCAGAAGCTGATAAAGTATAAAATCAAGGCAAGTGGTAGGAAAAACAGATGGTATACTTATGTTGTATTAAACAAGGTTAACAATTAGAAGATATCCAGATTTTATACAGAATATTCCTAAATGTGCAGCATCCCAGGCACATTGGAGTTTTCAAAATATTTGTAATTCATCTTTCTCCAGGCAGGCCAGTAAATAGTATTTGACTTTTTAGGTCTTTTAAATACAAATTTTATTTAGTTCTTTTAAACAAAAGAATGCAAAGGTAGATTGAATTTAAATTACTGGCTTTTCACTGAATGCTTTCCTTCAAAGCAGCAAGCTTTGCTATTATTGTGGAATTAAATAGCCACTACTATTTTGGGCAGCAATTCCAAATATTCAGTTTATTTTGTGAGATGGGACTGTAAGATCATCTCTGTTCAGATGATGTCTGACATTTGCCTACTGTGCTTCAAGTAATTTGTTTTTACTAAACACAAGTTTTCCAGCGATAATCCATACACTTCAGATTATTCAGAGACTGTAAAGTTACTGCGACTGAATGACCTTATGTAAATTACCATACATTTCTCACATCTGGGGTTTAGTCATTGACAAAAGTATAAACTTCCCTTGGTTGCATTTTTAATGTATAAAATCATTCAATCCCTAGCTTTCTTTTCATTAATATTGTCCCCATTTTGTTTGCCTTCTGCCAAGCTGAACTACAGACATCCACGTTTCTCCATGGAAATATAGTAAATGAGCAGAGCTCTAAGAAGCAGTGAAATCCTGGAGGTACGAAGATCAACACCTGGCTCTGGGTTGTGTCCTTGGCTGCTCATTAAGGACTTCCAGAGTTGAGTGAAAAGAGTTCCAAGCCACAAGCTGATAAAAGCAATATGCATTTTTAGCAAAAGAACTGAAATTTCTGCAGTTAAAAGACTGATGCCATGAATTTTAGTTTGAAATGTTTTTGTTTCCTTTATATTGTAAAATCCTCAATTTCAGCATAGCATTGATGGAAGTGAACGACAGTAATTGCTAAAACAAAACATGAATATGCCTGTCTTATTATATAGCTTACAATATCTGAATATTAAATCATATATGTCATACTTGGCTTGGAATAGTAATAGGTGAATTCCCAACTTGATACAATATTAAATTAATTTTGAGGTAGTAGCACCTAGGCTGATAATTGTTCATTCTTAATAGTTACAGTAATAATTTAAAAGAGTATCTAACTTAAAAGAATCAGAGAAATTTAAATTCTTGACAGTTCTTGAACTAACTAGAAGCCTGGCATAAGTCAGCCTACTTATCACTGCAATACAGCTGTTTTGTGAAAGTATTTTTCTCTCCACACAATTTATAACTGGACTGTGATTTCTTGCATCTCAATCAAGTAATCTTTTTTAAAAAATGTGATTTGATTGTACTCTGTGGTTTGAGATTTTTTAGATTATTCACTGATTAGCACTTTTTATACTAGATGATAATTTAAGAATGCGCATTTAAGTTCATAATTTAAGTATCTTATATAACATTACAGAGTATAAAAAAGTGGAGATCATGGGCATTATGCTAAAACAATTTATTTCCTTATTTCCACTTAATCTTAAGCATTCACAATCTTGAACACTGGCTTCAGTTCTGACTGTGATAAATAAGTATCTCTATCTTATCCAAGAAAAAGATGAGGAAGTGCAAATAATGCTTTGGTGGGTATGATAGTTTGATATACCCTGTCATTGTATTAATGATTTTCTTCAATTTTTGTTTGTATCATTAAGATGTAATTTAGTCTTACTTTATTTGGTTAAAAAAATAGGAGGAAAAAATATCCTTATCCCAAATAGTTGGATTTGGGAATAATTCAGATGAATTTCTTGAAACACAACATTCCTGTATATGCATATGTAAATGATATGCTGGTGTTGGTATAAATATTACTGTACCAGTAAGTCTGTTCTTAAAGAATGCAAATTGCATTTTTGCTAAGGAGGATAGGATAATTAGCCTTAGAACATATTGACAAAGATGATGAAAGCTTCCAACTTGCTTCTTCCAGTAATTTGGTGCTTCCTTTCTGAGTTTACATGGACATAGCAATATCCATGGGTGCATCTCCTGATTAAGCATTCCTTTTAAGAAGGCAATTCAAGCCATTTTGGACTTGAGTTTTCCTAGCGATTTTTGCTGTTTCTAGACTCCAAAGTATTTGAGATTTTTGTCTCTCTGTGAGGTTTTGTAGCGCCCAGAGAAGAATACCATCTATTGCTGGCACTTAATCTGTTTATTGGTCCATTTAAAATATGACACTTATTGTAAGCATTCATTTGTGCTTGAAATAACATCTCCCTATGCTGCTTTTGCTAGAACGCCTTTTCAAAATGGATAACCTAAAATTATAGGCTTATTTTTACTTCATTTGAGTCCAAGATGAGATCACTTTATAAATGCTATGATGGATGAGCTACTGCTTATCTTTTGAATGGAAAATCAGTTTATGAAAATCAAAACTCCTGTAGGATTTTTTTATTTTTTGTTTTATATTTTTACACACTAGTATCAGCTCACAGAAACTGGCCTTTAGACTTTCTTAGCTTGTGAGAGAAATCCTGAATTTGAGGTACATGACAATCTGCCCAGCCTTCTTTGGGAAAGAATTCTAAAGCAGCTTCAAGTGGTGAGCTGTGCTGTTCTTGCAGACAGGTATCTAATGATACCTCACTTTTTCAATACCTTCTTTGCCTGTGAAAATAACAATGCTGGGTGATACTTCACCCCTTCACTGCCTCTGTTTGCATGATCAGTATGAATGTCTATCGGCAGGATTTTCTGCTATGCTTGCTTCTGAAGAAGGCAGGCAGATTCTTCGTAATAGGCAGTTTGAATATCAACACTTTTATGCTAATTGTGATATATGGCAGTGGGACTGATTTGTAATAAAATGTTATTTAATCTGTCTTTGTATTTTGATACTTGAACTATTTCCTTTTTATTTTCTGTATATAAAAGTTATTCTCTCTCTTCCTCTTTTTTTTTTTTTTTTTGTGGTACCAAACATAACCAATCTGTGCAACAACATAGACTGACCTCACTACAACAAGGCGAGACTGTAAATATTTCTGAGCTTCCAGCAGTCGTTTTGTTGTTTGTTTTTCATAACTGTATGAGTTAGAACTGAGTAAATTAATAAAATTAGACATCTCTGTATGGGTTGTTGTGGTATATTAGTCTGTACCGAGTATTTTAAAACTACTATTCTATATTAACTGATGTTTTGTTGAAAATATTAAAACAAATTCTTATCATAGGCATTGGATATTAAAGTTACTTTTCCCAATTGAAGTAACATGTACCAGCTAGTTGAAAATCACAGGACAACATTTTGAGCTGTTTAAAGGTTTACTGCAGCAAACTTGGCATTGTCAGTTTGGTATTATTAGCTGTACCTTGCGACTTCAGTGACCCGGTTTGGAATACAGCAGCAAAGAGCAGGACAGCTGCTCCGTTGATCACATTGGATTGAGCACCAAAGTACTGTCTGAACAATTGTCAGTTTGAATCTCCCCTCTCCTTGCCATCCATGATCTGCCTCGTTAGGCTGTTAAGAAGAAACTTTCCCTGTTTCAGACTTTTCCCCTGGAAGCAGCAATTTCTTCAGTATTTCTGAGTAGTATGGACCAAATACCTGTCTGTTGTGATGAATCAAACTACCAAACCTCTGACCAATTTCCAGTACTTCTTCCTGAATCGGATTAAGGCCTTGCAGTAGATTCTTAGCATTTTGGCCACCAGGATACAAACAGTGTCTAAGAAAAGTCTGGATCCGTTGCTCTGTGGAAATTAAGATATTTGGAAATAGACTAGAGCAGCAGTCGCCAACTGGTGGGCCGTGAGAAAATTTTGGTGGGCCGCAGAGAAATCTCACCCCCAGAACACCCCCCAGAGCAATTATTCCAGGCTGCGCAAAAACACAAGGCTGCACTGCCCACATGGCCCGCAGGAACGCTCCCCACCCACTCACTCCTTACCAGGCAAACTTGCCTGCTAAAATTGCTATTTTTCCTTTTTCCGATCATCATCTGTTCTGCTGTGCCAGGAGATTTAGATTAGCTAGGAAGCAGGAAACGGTTGGATTTCTTGCTTTCTAGCTAGTCTTTAGAAAGTTTAGATCTTTGGCTCTGCCAAACCATCTTTAGGACTGAAGGTTTGCTTGCAAGCAAATTCAGTGCAGACTCACGGCAAGAAAATTTGAGAGACTGAGCTAGCTGACGGCAGATAGATAGATCACTGAATGATTCTGTGAGTAACTGAATCTGCCTGCTTTGCCTGATTTTGGATAAAAGTTGCTCTTTTTATAAAAAATTCAATATTTACATGCATGGTGTGTTGTGAGTTAATTTTGTGAGTTTGCTTGCAAGCAAATTTTATGTGACAGACTGAGCTAGCCAATGGCAGATAGATATATCTCTGAATGAATCTGTGATTCTTTGAGCAACTCAATCTGCCTGCTTTGCTTGATTTTCGGTAAAAGTTGCTCTTTTTTATAAAATAATTCAATATTTATATAAATATTTATAATATATACATACAAGCCATGCCTAGCCAGTCACAGACCACCAAGCCACACCCACAAATTAGGCCACGTCCACAGAACCAGTTAATGGTCCCTGGGATCAAAAATTATGAGTTTGGTGGTCCCTGAGGTCCAAAAGGTTGGGAACCCCTGGACTAGAGTGTTATAACTATAGCTGCACCATTTGGGGCCCTCATTGATTATTAACTGCAAAGTTATAAAGAAAAATTCAGGATAATATCAACTTTTTAAAGAGCCAAGATTGTAAAGTACACTAGTAGCAAAATAATTAAAATGTTTTTTTAATTATATTTTAACACTCAAAGTATTTAAATTCATCTGCTGACAGCTTGTGCATTTGATAACTGAATATTTTTTTAGACATTCTATATCCCAAGCAGTACATTTGATTAACGCTAAGCAAAACAGAAATGTAAGGACTCCATTAGAAATAAAAGGTAAATTTATCTTGTTGCCAGGCGCTGTATAATGGACACATATTCTGCTATCTTACTGAGATTTTTACTAATTTACTAAAACATTGCTGCAATTTAACAATATTTAAATCAGAATTAAAAGTACTTCAATTAACCCATCCAAGCAGGGGAATAATTTGTAATATTGACAGAATTAAATACTTACTCTTCTCTGGGAATTTGTATTAAAACTGGCATTTAAACTGCTGCTTCTTGGAGAAATAAATGCAAAATTGTTTTCAAAGTATTTTGAGTATTCTAGAAACTTTCTTTTATACTAAATATTCTATATATTGAACCTATGTTTTGTGAATGGTATTCATGATTCAGAGTTTGGAATTGAAATTCATCATTTTTTATGCTCAAATAGACTTGCATCAAAGCAAACTTGAATAACTTACCAATTAGAACCCGTACAGCATTGTTTTTATCTCCAAGGTTCCTAAGTTGGCCTTTGAGTGAAGTAGCCTTATCAGTACTGAGTGCAGGGTAACCCAACTGATTAAATATGGCATCTACTTCCATGCATATTTGATTGCTGATATCCATTAAGGCATTTTCTGATCTAATCACGTAATAATAATAATAATAATAATAATAATAATAATAATAATAATAATAATAAGCATTTTAACTATATCAATTGAAACTTCAATGAAGAGATTCTTAATGTACGATAATGAAATCAGTTTGATATACTTTCTCAAACTAAATTTCTGACAAAACATGGAACAAGATTGGGCAACAATTAATTAGAATTAACATATTTATGTATATAATTTTCTTAATGGATGGTTCCAAAATTCAAATTGTTGCTTGTCCAATGAATGCAAATTAAGATACATCTTCATTACTCCCTAAAGACTGAAACATTGTACCAAAGTACTTATGGGATTGCTGCTGCCTACCACATTTGACCATCTGATGCATTCCTCCCCAAAGAACCTGCTAGAGTTCCACCTTTTGCAAGCCAGGAGGGACAGAGTCTTGAAAATGTTTCTGCTTTTTAACAGGAATGTCTACACTTTAGCATAGCCTTCCCTTCCAGAATTTCATCTGCCCTATACTTGTTTACTTTTATATATATTATTAACATATTTTTACAGAAAGTCTTTAATATATAAATTGGCATTATACATTACCATACTGTGTATCCTAGATTTCATATGTAGAGAACATTTTATTATTCTGAATTGATGAACATTGTACAGTAAACCTCAATTATAGCGGTGAATAATTAGAAAGTTACAATAAAGCACAGAGCATAACATAAGTGGTCAGGAGTAACACTTATCTTTTTTTAGTTATATAGTGAGTTTTGGTTTAATTTGTGTGCTTGCTTGTGGCTGTTTCTATCAACCCAATAGTGGGGGGGAAATCATTTTACACCAAGAATGCAGCAATCTTTATAAAGTTGATTGATTAGGGAAATAAATGTGGATTTACCCCAATCCAAAAAATTGTAGAATATCCATGGTTCTCAAATAATTGCAGAATACAATGTTAAAATGATACACTTATCTCTTTCCTGTTAACTTATCCTTGTCCTGTTAGTGGACAAGATTTAGGTAGGCAAGAAAGAAAGCAATAGATAATTGTCTTTTTTTTGAGCTTAGCATTGTATACCAGACCATTATGGTTTGTTCAGCAAGCTTTGGTTTAGTACCATATTGAATCCATAGTGTGGAGTGGATGTTGATCAATTCTATTCTTGTATATTGATTGCCTTGTTAACCAGCCTCACCTATCCTCCATAGAATATCATCAGATTTCAGCTCATTATAACCTGCAAAAGAGTGGGGTAGGAAATGTTCCTGTCTTTAGCAAATATTAAAATAGCTTGCCTTATATCAGGGAGACCTTCCAGAAGAGCTTTTATTACTCTTTTCAGCTTATTGCCACCTCCTGGTGAACTGAATAACTCATTTCCACATATATTGCTGCTCACTAATAAGACTGAAGCAATAATGACTAGCCGATTCACTTCTCCTTGTAGAGCATGCAAACGTGCTTTGTCCATCAACATAGTCTACAAAGAAAGAATATACATGATATCACAAAAAGCAGGGGCTGGAAGCAATCTTGATGATCACTGAATCCAAGCCCCTGTTCAGGGCAGGAGTCCAATTTTCAGCATCCCTTGACAGATGAACTTCTAGCATGTTTAAACACTTTTCAGCAAATAATTCATATTGGTTGCTGTGCTTTGAGCCTTCAAAAAAATGCAGGCCCCAGAACTGGACGTAGTGTATTCTAGCTACATGTGGTTTAACTAATTGAGAATTTATAGGGAACAATTTTGTTTTCTTATGTTGATGCTATATTTCTGTTTATGAAGCCTAGGATTGTTTTTGCTCTTTTAAAAACATTTTTTGAATAATTAAAAGTTTTTAAAGCTAATTCTTCCCTATTGGTTAAGATCAGATCTAGGAGAGCCAATACCCTATGGAAAATGAAAGACAACTGAAGAATTTTGAAAATTTGGACATTGGCTAAGTTTTTCCCCAATAGATATCCATATAGTTCTAGTTTTCCATTATGATTGTGTCCATTATGATTGCACCTCTCCTGAAAGTTTTATAATCTGGTCCCAAAGACAATATTTAGATCTTCTGTCAGGGTTGACTGTCTATAGCATGTTTCCACCATAGCTGGTTGTTCTTTCCCTTCCTATATATTCTTATCCAGTGCTCTTCATTGGACCATCATGCTGAAATTCCTGGATACCAGTGCATCTGTGAACTTCCCTCAACCATTCAGCTGTTGTGTGGACATTTCTAGCACATTAAGATTAGAGTTGTACTTTGCTGAATTAAGATTATGCTTCCTTAACTATTTTTTTTAATCTTTCCTGGTTTTAAGAAACAATTCTTTTAACACCACTTACCTCGGGATAGTGTTCTGTTCCAGGCTCCCAGTCCAGCAAATCCATATACGCTTGATTTAACACAGCAGTAGGACTATGAATAAATGAGACTTTTCCAGCAGACATGGGACAAGTGGAAACAGGTGGTCCATTAGTTCCAGAGGTGGATGAAGAAGGAAGCAAATCAGAATTTGATGCTTTGGTTATTGCCTTGCGTAGCCAGTCAGTTGTATAAGTTAAGCTGTCTGCAGTGATGGAAAATTTGGAAAAGAAACAGGGCTGTTTTTTTCCAGTAATTTCTCTTTCCTTATGTTTTGGATAGATGCTGATTTTTTTAATATATGAAGTGCACTCCATGAATGTTCACATATTAGTAATTTTAATTTCCAATTTATGAAGTTATATTCTAAGCATTATATTTTGCCTATATTTTTAATTACTCAAGTTTAACAATTCAATTTATCCATTCATTTCTGATTTCAGAAAAACAAGCTTTTTCTGGCTATTCCTTATGAAATTATCTTCAGAACTACTGGAGTTTACCCAACTGACAGGAGCAAGAAATATACAACCCCCCAGTAGCCTAATGTAATTTGACAAGAGGATGTAATAGAAGATAGGACTCTAAATATTATGTTATGTATTTCTTAAAATGTTAATATACTTGTTGTATTTATCTGTGAGTAAATGTTGACAAGGGCCTATAGGGTTTGGCTCTGTGTTATTAGTTTACAAAAATGATCTAGCAAATGTGCATTGCTCTCTCTTTGATACCTGCCTGGTAGTTTGTTCAGGAGTTCCTGAAATTTTTTCCTTTCATATTGCACAGAGTGCTCCAAGAGATGGGGTCGAAGGCTTTGTATGGTAAAGTTGACCATATCCATTTTCATAAGGTTCAGAACTCGGAAGATCTCTCTGTCATAAATAACAAGAACAAAACCATTTTGCATTGTAATTAAGTCAATAAGGCTAATTTTAAATCAATATAGCTAATCCTAGCAATAAGGAATCAATCTTCAATTCTAAATTATAGATTATTAGATTATAAATTGTATCCTAAATTCTATAAGTTTATATCATAGATGGAGGTTCTCTGTAATGAAGCCAATTCATCTGGCATTCATATCCAAAGATAACTTCTGTTTCTTTCCTAAGAGCTGGCTAAAATGCTTTTCTTCTGTCATTGGGCTAAGAATAGAAAATGATGTTCCATCCTGCTGGTTCATGTATTTTCCTCTTATCAGACAAGCAAATTTTCTTTTTGTCTGTTGTATGGATAATGTTGGGAATAAGCCTTAAATTACTCTTTTAAGCCTCACTGCATATCACCCAATCCTCCTGGTGAAATGTAAACGTGAATCTGGCTCCAAATTTAGACCCTTGACTAGAACAAAATTCCATACCTTTGATTGGAGTTGAGCAGCTAATAAATTTAAATAAATTTAAAGCAGCCCACGTGAATCCTATATCCAACACAGATATATTTATTTCAGTAGCTAAAGTTGGGAACAAATTGTTTCTTTTTTCAGAGATATGCCAACGTAGGAAATAAAAAATTCAGGAGCCTAGGCCCCCAGCTATTGTAGCATATAGCACTATCATTAGTTCCTAATCCGTATCAATGCTTTGCTTTAGGAATAACAATAACAGACTGAAGCTTGATGTTTGTTTTACTTTCAGACTTTGCAAAAAGTCTAAATTGAACAAACAGGTATTTCTGTGCGTCTTTTCTTACTCCTAGAGATGAAAAATGGTGAACTGCAAGTTCTTTATAAAAATTAAAGTCATAGGAAAATGTTGCACTACAATAACAATGTATTGCATTCTACATTCTACAGTATAATTTTAATAAATAATGTATGATTCATACAGGATTGTATTTCCTCAAAACTCAAACCCACCTGAGCAAATGAACTGGGTCTGACATGATTCGCAGACTTTGAATTTCTTCATCTCTGATAGGTGCACAGAGCATTGCCATGGTGCCTAAGATATATGTAGTGAGGCTGGGAATATTCAAAGCTCCATGCTCAGCTTCTTGTTTTATCAATTCGATGTCTAGTGCTTCTTCAATCTGACTTTTTAAACGTGTTTGTCGTGGCAGAAGCAAAGCCAGCAGAGTCTATAAAACCAGAATGAAGGAATGAACATTTGTAAAAGTGAATGTTCAAATTGATTTAACTATTCAAACTCAATACAATATATTACTATAAAAGAAATATGATGGTTGAATGAATGGTACCATGCCTCTAAGATTGTAAATCACCAACAGATGGCAGTATTGGTATATTGATTTAGCTGCTTCATTTTAGTTGGCAGAAAATTGCCATGAGAAAAGGTTGTGTTGCTATTTTTGTGAAAAGGGACCCTACAATGAATACTGACTGATCAGATTGAATTTTAGATAGCTGAAGGAGTCTTTCCAATTGAAATTTATCACCAAGTGCAGGTTATTTGTTGGTATGTGTAGTTGAGAGCAGGGCCAAAAATTGTAAAGATGTGAATCAGGAAGACTTATTTACGTGACCAAGAATGAAGTGGACAACATATTACAGCAACAATTTTCACATAAGAAAGGTTGATGACCTAACTAAAGGCAGTCACCAAATCACTGAAAGGGAAACTTCTATCAAGCTTGGTATATAAGAATAACACGATCAAATTTTGATGTTCCTCATTTCATCCTTGAATTTTGTTGACTGCAAAGATAAAAGCTTTGAGTTGAAATTTGCCAGCAAAGGTTGTCACACTATGAGAATGAAGGTGCAGAATTTCACAGCATTGTTCAGCTGATGAAACATGGGCTCACCAAGAAACAAAGGATCAGTCCGGGGAATATTGCAAAAATTCAGCTAAAGAAAAAGAATCAAAACACAGGCTTCAGCGGGAAATTTCATGGTTATGGGGTGTGTGTGTGTGTTTGAGGTAAACTCATATCCATTTCTTTGAACTACCAGCTCAGAATGCTCTACTGCAACACTCAAAAATTTGAAACAACAATTCAGCAGGATTCGAAAACACAAGGAAGAATTTTTGCTGCACAAATGGTGCTCATACTCACAAGCCATCTAAAAAGTTTTGAAATTAGTTGGATCTCACTCTGTCCCCATCCACCATACATGATGCTATCTCAATCTATAGTGATGGATGATCTCACTAGTGGCTTCATGTAGATGTTAAACAGATATCATATCATGCCTTGCAAGGCCCCACAAAGTAGTGGACAAGGCCTGGACTTCTCGCTTCCTATCGACACCGAGAGTGGCAACAGAGGAAGAAAGTGAACCAGGACAACAAAGCCCCCCACTCCCAATCCCTTAAGCTGCACCAGAAAGATACCATGGTTGATGGTACTGAAGGCTGCCAAGAGGTCAAGTAGAGCAAGAATGGATACACTGCCCAGCTTCCACTAGGGATCATAAAGAAGCATGATCAATGCCATTTCCTTTCCATATCCAGGCCTGAAGCATGACTGGTAAAGGTCTAGATAATCCATTTTATCCAGAAACCTCTGGTGCTGCTGCACAACCATCTTCTCAACAACCTTCCCCAAAAGGGAAGATTGGAGACTGATAAAAAATTATCCAAGAGGGTGGAATCCAGCAATAACTTATTAAGAAGAGGGCGGACCATAGCATCCTTAAAATGCTACCCTCTGCAGCAGAGACACATTAATCACTGCCAAAATCCACCTGTATGTCGTTTCCCGGGAAGCTTTCACAAGCCAGGAAGGGCATGGATCTAAAAACAGCTGCTTGCTCTCATAATCCCTAGGATCCTGTCCACTTCCTCAGGAATAGCAAGGTCAAACTGTGCCCAGATAATGGCAAGGACTTGCCCCAGGTGCTTCCACCAGACCAGCAACTACCCCAGCATCTAACTGGGAACAAAGCCAAAGGAGGGTACCATGTGACTTCCATCTTTTCTCAAAATTTAAAGAGTAAATTTGTGGGCATCTCTTTAACTCAAAAGAAGAGGTAGAAAAGATTGTCAGGGCCTGGTTGAAAAGACAAAGTATGAAGTTATTTTGTGACAACTTTCAGAAGTTTGTCAATCATTGGCAGAAGAATGAAGTGAATGATAGTGATTATTTGGAGAATAACGATCTTGTAACAAAATATTGTTTTATTTCAGTAATTATTTTCCTACTTAATTTTGATAGAGATATTTTAATTAGTGAAAGTTATGGAATTGAAGACATTACTTTTCATCTTGCATATAATAGTTTTAGATACAGTAATATTTTAAATAAGGAACCTATTTGAATTAATTTATTTTCAAGTTAATTTTACTTTCCCAGCAGGTTTCAATAAAGTGCCAAATAAATGTGGAAAAAAGATATCCTCAAAGCTTTGCAGCTGGAAAGAGACTGATACTAACTTCCATTGTTATTTTAGGCAAATGACCAGTCATAAAAATGTCCTGGTATAAAAAAAATATTTTAAAAAAACACCACTCGCATAGTTAACTCTTTTTGAAAAGTCCTATAATTCTGCTGCTGTCTTTGGTGAAGTGACAGCACTAACTTCAAGCCTTTTAGGGGAGAAGATACAAGTGCTAAATTACAGGTAGTCCTTGTTTAACAATCACAAATGGTTCCAGTGAAATGGTTGCTAAGCTACATGGTCACTAAACAATGTGATTGAGAGATGCTGGAACAATTGCTGGATGCTGACATTTCATTCAGATAAAGTTACTCTGACTCCAAAGTACATTGTTATCAAGTACAGATTTTTTTTTTTGGGGGGGGGGGGAATATAGATCAATAAAATAATTTTTACTACTGTTTACTACTACTATTTACTATTATGGTATTTATGAACAATTGTTTTCTGAGGCAATTGCTAAAGAACTTATGACTACAGTTGTTAAGCAAATCATGTGGTCGTTAAATGAATCTGACTTTCCCCACTGACTTGCTTGTTAGAAGTTGGCTGGGAAGATTGGAAATGGTGATCACATGACCCAGGAGTACTGCAACTGTCATAAACACAGTTGCCAAGCACCTGAATTTTGATCACTTGACTATGGAGATGCTAAAATGATCGTAAGTTTGAAAAGTAGTAATAAGTCACTTTTTTCAGTAACTTCAGGCACTAAATGAGTGGTTCTAAGTCGAGAACTACCTGTACCTGTAATAGTTTTTTATCACAAAAATCAATTTGTTAGATATGAATAATTCCCATTCCCCTTTATAATTTACTTCTTTGATTTCTTGAAGTAGCTTGACAGCGTGAGAATAGTCTGGTGGTACTTTGGAAAGCTGTTCTTTCAGATTATCCCAAAAAGCTTTGTGCACTGTTTCTTTCACTCTGCTTTCTAAACTGTAGTGAGATAAAAGTAGCTTCTATTAAACTGTAGTGAGATAAAAGTAGCTGCTGTTAATATTTTTTCTACCTACAATATTGTCTAAAGGCCAAGTTTCATATAATTTTTCATCTACTGATAAATATTCATTTTCAATCCAATCAATATTGTAAGGAAATACTAGATTTCAATAAATGATCCTATGAAATGTAAAGATTAGGTACAAGTAAAACATATTCTGGGAAATGTAACAGGAAATACCAGTTCAAATTTTCCTCCAGACACCATGAATACAGTATTCTGGGGAATACTATCTGGCTGTTTCAAAGAACTATCAGTCCTAAAAGATAATAAAAAGAAAATTATCTGTCCTAGAGGAATGCCAAACCACCATTCCAGATTGGTGTGGATTGAAAATAAAAGGTGGAGCTCTCCCAAATATTCCATTCCCAGAATGGTAGAGTTTGCACATCCTTTAAATGGTTTGTTATTATATCTTGAGAAAGTGGGATGAGAGCTAACAATATGCTACACATGGTAACTGAGAGTGGTCCATAGAATTCATCTAGAGCTTTTTTAAAAAAATCAGTTCTCTGAATCATGCAAGTAAAAACAGAAATATATCAACACATAATCAGAACAATACAAAAATAATCTGTAACATGAATATTTAACTGTCAGTTTCAATTTTCCCACTTTGAATCTTTATAGTAAATGTCAACCTTCTGCCACTTAATCATAGCTTTACATCTTTTATTAAAATTATTTATGAAATCTATATGTAATTTTTCAGTCACCAAGTGTTCTGACTATGTCTTGGGTTTATGCAACTCAAGTAGCCAAACCCAGTCTAATAACATTACATTAACAAAAATAATTGCTTATTTGGCAATAAAGTAATCTAGACAAGAGGCTAAATGAAAATCATATTCAACCATATTCACTAAGAATGACAAATAGCAGATTTCTTCCCCAACTACTATATGAAGACCTAGCTCTGTTGGGAATATTCTAAAGCTGGAAAAGGTAGAAAGAAAGGAAAGAAGAGGTCAACCACCTACAGGACTTAGTTACAGTGGTGATGAATGAACTGTTAGAAAACCTGAAAACCAAGTTTAAGATCATCATGGAGACAATCTATCTGTATGGCGTTAAGAGTTGACAACAACTTGATGGCACATCATCAATTAAAAAATATAGCTTTATGCAAAGTTAACTGAAAACTTTTGAGAACATGGAGAAAATAAAACCTACCTGTTTGGTGATAAATTCACTTCTTGCAGTTTAAAGTCATGGTTGACAACAATTTCATGGGCTATTGTCATTTTTGAGACTTCATTTGCTGTTTCCATGAGCTCTGAGATAGAATGAATTTGGGGAGAATTGGCTATATAAAAATAAAATAGAATGGTGCTTACTTGGCTCACCAAACAGGAATGTTTTTAAAGACGTACTATTTATAATTAAGCAAAGTATCTTTTTTGATACAAACTCTGCTCAACCTTTCTACTTCTAAACAAGCAAATAAAAGTTTTTTCTTTTCTGTGGTAGACTCTGAGGAATGATAATTATATAAGCATGAATTAAAATAGTCCAGTTTAAGAAATAATATAGGATGTTATTAGTAATTTCCAAGTATTTCTAATATTTATTTATTTATTTTGTTTGACAAGCATGTATGAGAAAACTACAAGTATGAACATAACATATAAACATATAAGTATAAACAGGTATAAGTATATATTTAATAAATGAGTACAAATAAATGGGAACAGTAGGACAGGGACAGTAGGCACACTGGTGCGCTTATGCACGTCCTCTTACAGACCTCTTAGGAATGGAATGAGTCCATGGTAGACAATTTAAGGTTAAAGTTTTGAGGGTTTGAGGATGTAACAACAGAGTCAGTTAGTGAGTTCCAGGCACTGACCACTCTTGCTGAATCACAATCATAAACCTTCTAGAAAGCCATTACAAAGTTCCCCAAAGAACAGCAAATTATATATGAATGTTGCTACCACTCAGAATTGATAGTACTTATCTAGAACCAAAGATCTGAGATCCAAGGATAGAACAAAAATATTGATTCAAAACCCAAAACTGGACAAAACCAAACATACAGATACTAGGGAATAGGACAATCTTTTCCTGAAAATTTTGAAAATTGCCAGAATTGGGGCAGATAAATTTAATATAAAGAAATTTTTTCAAATGAAATTATTTTAATACAGAATCGGTAAACTCTAAATCTAGTTTTATTTTTTACTACAACTTTTCACCTAATGAAAATATTAAAAAAATAATCATTTTACTATGTGCTTGGAGTTTGAAAGTTAAATAATCTGCACGCATACCACTTTCTGAAAAATTGCACAAAAATTAAAACTCTCTCAAGACCTTTTATTTCATTGAACTATTAAATTAAAGTGCCTGAATTTTGCTGCACCAGTTTTTATCTTGGAATTCTATGCATTCTAATCCAGATTTATTAAAGCACGATTTGTACCACTAATTATGAATTTGAAACAATTTCAGGGGGAGGGGAACGGGATGGACATGCTATTTTGCTGTAAATATTAATATTTGATTTTTCTAGCATTCAGTTCAAATTATACATACAAGATGGGATGTTAGGAGGACAGAGTTTTGGAATGTCTCCACCCTGGGTTTCTTCATGCTCCCTCGGTTTTCTGGAACTACAACCTGTAGTTTGAGTGTCATTGCAGTCATTTGAAGTAGTCTCTTTAGGATTAGGCATCTTGTTTCTAATAGAAGACACAGATTTGAAAATGACATGGACTACCACATCAGTTTTTAAAGACCATGAAAAAATTATTCTTCTGTACTGTGGGCAGATTACAGAAATTAGCAGAAAAAGATTTCTTTAGAAAAGAAATGGCCATCATTCAGATAGCCTTCAACTTACAACAGTTCATTTAGTGACTGCTCAAAGTAAGAACAGCACTGAAAAAAAAGACCATTTTTTTTTTCAAACTTCTGCAGCATCCCCATGGTCATGTGATCAAAATTCAGCTGCTTGGCAACTGACTCATATTTATGACGGTTGCCATAGCCTGGGGTTATGTAATCGCTTTTTGCAACCTTCTGACAAGCCAAGTCAATGGGGAAGCCAGATTGACTTAACAACCGTGCTAAGTCAACCATTGTGATGATTCAGGTAACAATTGTAGAAAGAAAGGCCGAAAAAGGGGACAAAATTGACTTAACTGTCTCACTGATCGGCCTAAATTTTGGGCTCAATTGTGGTTGTTAAGTCAAGGACTACTGGTATTCTTTTCTCAGACAAATGACTATTGTGAACTTCTTATGGCAAATATTGAATCATCAGTGTGAAACCTGGCATGGTGTCCCAGTGGCCTTGGCACCAAACAGGATCAGCACTCAATCTTTTTTTTAAAAAAAAAGAAAAAAACAAGGCAAGAGGCATACACCATTGTGCAAAGCACAGACTCCAAGGTGACTCCATCTTTGAAGAACACCTCTGAGTGGGAAGGCAACCTGAGTTTTCCCTTCAAACGTTTTGTGCTCCAATACTCCCTTCTCCCCCCTTGGCCAGCTCTCGGACAATGCCTGGCGCCCTGAGGCGACGAAGACGAAAGAGAGCCTGGGCAAGCCAGGAGGAGCGCCCGTTAGAGGAGAAACCAAACAGGCAGAGGGGTGTCCCTTCTCCCTCACCTTCCTCGGGGACAGCAGGGAAAGACGAGGCAGGGGCGGGCGGCGGTGATCAGAGGAGAGGGGGGGGGCAGCGCGGCCAGATTTTCTCGGCCGACCCTAAACAGCCAGCAAAGCTTTCAGGACGGCCGTTGGGGCCGAAGCTATTCCAACGGAATAGAACCAACTACCTGCCCGCTAAGGGGGGGGGGGAGGTTTGCGTCCCTTTGAGAATCAAGTGAAAGTGATACGCGCTAACGGTTTTTTCACGACAATAAGAATACAGCAGTAGCGTTTGTTTTCCATCTTCAGACGAAAGGCGAGGTCGATAAATTTTCTTCTCCCGCGTTTGAATTTATCGGGAGGGCCCCTCCTTTTCTTTTTATAGAAGAAGGGTCATTCATGTCTCGTGAACAACGCGGAGGACCGAACCAAACGCCCCAGAAATGGGAAGCAGCTCATAATTCCAGAGAACCTAAAAAGAGTTTCAGTGAGGTGAAATACTTATCGGATGTTATCACAGTGCCATAGCTACTCTACTTGTTACTCTACACAAACACATATTTTGTGAAAAATCAGTGTTTTGTTATAGAGTACTCGGAGCCCCCCCCCCTCTTTCATCCCCCAGTGAGATGCTCCAAGAACGGCCTGGGAATCGCAATTGGAATATCCATGGGGAAGGCAATGGCGCCATCTAATGCCAAGATCTGGCTTGTTTAAATACGTAGTGACTACTAATGGAAAACACTGACTCCCCATAAGTTTCCAGAGATGCCAAAAACATGTCTGGATGTTTCCATGCATTACAAACTTCATCTGGAAGGAGAATGAAAATTCTAAGAGAGTTTGTCAAATGATGTAAATATTAATAATTTTGCCAGAGATGTATTGCAAATAGTTATAGGACAATTTCCCAACATTTTCTCATTGGAATTGCTGAGAGTTAAATTGGGAAGTTGGAAAAAAAAAATCTCAGAAAAAGATAGTAGCAAACAGTTTCCATATAGTAGCCAAGAAAACTATGTTTAAGTATGGTCACCAGCAGCTGAGTTGGATTTTCAGAATTAATACAAATACAATTAATGCATATGGATTTTAACAATACACAATGAGTCAACAAATTAGCTAGTTGTTAATTAGATATCAATAGTAGGCACTACAACTCATGAGAAATACTTCGTAGGTGCGTTAAAAATTTTACATTCAACTTAATCGTTAATTAATCATTGTAAGACCAAGAAAACTGAAGGAATGCATTTAGGCTGAGTAAACATTCTCCTGTGTAATTTATAAATCCATTCTTTCACTTCTTTGGCTCTAAGTTCTTGTTCTTCATTCCATGCTGGCTGGGGAATTCTGGGAGCTGAAGTCCACAAGTCTGAAAGTTGCCAAGATTGGACACACCTGTTATAAATTCAGGCTGATAATTTTAAATGTGTTCTACTGTTGCATGCTTCTTATGTACTTAACCTGCATGCTCTCTTGTGCTAAATTGCCTGTAATCCACATGAGTACTCTGTAATGAATTTCCATTTGCATGAATGCTAGTTTAGAGAGATGACACAAACAGCCTTAACACATCTATGGTGAGAAATGACATGCAAGAATGCTACTTTCTTTAGGGGAGGGTTTATTATTATGCAGCAGCTTCTTATTTAGCTGTTTCTACAATAAGGTATTTTATCTCTCTCTCATAACTGGGTTATCTGCCTCTTAACACCAAACCTTTTAACCATGACTACTGAAATAATGGGCTATTCTCATTTTCTCAATTTAATAAACCTCAGCTTGGTGAAATTTGGATGGAAATGTTTTTTTTTAATTTCTATACTGCCTATTTCATCTAAGTGACTCTACACTATTAAACCTCTCTGTAAAATAATCCTTTGTATAATGTTTGCATAAAACCTAATTACCATTTTTACAAATGTGTAACAACACAGGTGTAAAAAAAATCCAGTTTGGGTTTCACATACATTTTGCTATACCCCCTTTCCTCAATTTGTTTGTTAAATTTATGGTGAAGGATAGGAAAGGATAAGATATTTGGAAGGGCATGTCATTTAGTCCAACCCCCTGCTCAAGCAGGAGACCTGGCTGAATCCCACCACTTCCCTATACCATTTCTGACAGATGGCTGCCCAGTCTCTTCTTGAAATCTTCCAGTGATGAAGCACCCACAACTTCTGAAAGCAAGCTCTTCCATTGGTTGATTATTCTCACTGTCAAAAAAATTATTATTTCTAGATTGAATCTCTCCTAGATCAGTTTCCATCCATTATTCCTTGCTGGTCTTTAGGTGTTTTGGAAAATAGGTTGACCTCCTTCTCTCTGTGACAGTCACTCAAATATTGAAACACTGCTATCATGTCACCCCTGGTCCTTCTCTTCACTAGACTAGCCATGCCCAGTTTCTGCAACCATTCTTAATAACTTTTAACCTCCTAATCATCTTTGTTGCTCTTCTCTGCACTCTTTCTATAGTCTCAACCTCTTTTTTATAGTGTGGTGATCAAAACTGGATGCAGTATTCTAGGGGTGGACTTATTAAGGCTTTGGAGTGGTATTAGTACCTCACTTGATCTTGATTCAATCTCTCTGTTAATACAACTTAGGATTTCATTGGCTTTTTTGCCTGCCGCCACACACTACTGGGTCATATTTAATTGGTTATCCCTTAAGACTCCAAGATCCCTCTCACAGTTACTGCTATTAAGCCTAGTTTCATCCAATCTATATGTGTACTTTTGTTTTTTCTTCCTTAAGTGTAAAACTTTACTTTTATCTGCATTGAATTTCATTTTGTGAGATAGGGCCCAGTGTTCAAATCTGTCAAAAGCCATTTGAATCTTGAGCCTGTCATAGGGCGTTGGCTATTCCTGCCAGCTTAGTATCATCTGAAAATGAAAAATACTAATTTATAATATGGTAATCTCCCTAAGTAGCGGAGTTCCTTTCTACCCAGCCTCACATTAGAGAAACACTCCACATTTCTTTTCCTTCACGAAGCTAAACAGAATCATTTATCCAATTCTTATCTAAAGATTAAAGAAGCTGCGTTCTTCTGTATATTTGAAGAGGAGACATACAAAGCAGTAATAACATAGATCCTTTGGAATCCCCTTATCAGTGCCAATCTAAAAGTTGTTATGGTTCCTTCTCATAACCATCAGCCCAGCTCTCAGATGGTTCAAACATTCTGCCTTTCATTTTTGTTTTCCTATATGACATACTTTCGCAAGAATGCTGAATTCCTTGTACAAAGCCAGAAAAGTGTATATGTATAATGACTGATGAGATCAGTTGATGATAATCATGGACATAGTACATTTCTCAACTATAGAAAATAGTGCTTCTAAGATTTACTGCTCTAAAATGTATATTTCACACAAACAGAGCAATGGAACATATTGTCACAGCTACATATAATTAGAATACAGAGGGGCATTGATTTAGAACCATTCATTTAGTGACAGCTTGAAGTTACAATGGCACTAAAAAAGGTGATTTGACTAGTTTTCATACTTAAAACCATTGCATCCTCCCCATGGTCAAATGATCAAAATGTGGGTGTTTGACAACTGGCACATAGTTATAATAGTTACAATGTCCTGGAGTCATGTGATCACCATTTGTAACTTTCCCAGCTGGTTCCTGACAGAGTCAATTGGAGAAACCAGATTTACTTAACAATTGCAGTGATTTGCTTAACAATTATGGAAAAATGTCATAAAATGAGGCACAACTCACTAAACAACTGTCTTGCTTAGCAACATACATTTTCGGCTCCATTGTGGTCACAAGTCAAGGACTAACTTTATACCAAAAATAATTAAGTCAGCTATGTTGTCAACTGAATTTGGGAGATTTTTCCATGAAAAAGCCAGAAAAATAACACTTTAAAGTGAATTGTTGTAATTATATTTGCACCTACATAAATTCATTTGTTTCTGTTTTTAACCAAAACATATATCTATCTGTGCAAATCAAGTCGTCTTTCACAACTGCCTGAATTCTAGTTAGTGTACTGTACAGGATTCTATATCAGAGCTGCAAAACTCCAGCTAACTACTAGATGCCAGTAAA